AACTCAGAGCTGCTCCCCAGATTTCATATTGGTCCCTCCAAGCTGTGTGAGGATGTCTGAAGCTTAGAAGGATGAGGAGGCTGGAGCCAGATGACATGGGGTTGTTCCTCTCTTACCTCAATCCTTAAAGTTCATGCCATGCATTCCTCTCAGCCACTAAGATGGTAGGGAGGTTCTGTGGGAGGGGGTTAGGAAGGCTGGGCCTTGAGCTTACTTCTGCAGGTGTTCACCTGTGCAATTCTCATATAAATTTTAATGTGTATTTAATGTGTCCCCTGTGCTAGGCTCTGTGCCACGGAGGACACTAGCTGTTGGGGTACTAAGGTGTGACTGGAGAAAAGCTATTCCTCAGCACCCAACCCCCAACCCACCTCAGGCTGACAGCATGACAGCTTAATTTGTAGAAGGAAAAAAAAAAAAAAAACTAAGTAAAGGCTATAATTTACAGTTGGGATAATTGGCCAACTGTTAGGAAAGAGGAAAAAAAATTCTAACATACAATCTATGTAAAAATAGTGTGCTTGCTATACAAACTCAGCTTCAAGACATGGTCCCAGCTGCCATGGACACACCTCTCCATTCTAACCAGGCAGCTGACCCTAAGCAGCTCCAGAATAAACAATCTGGAACTGCCCTAAGATGTATGGGGTAAGCGAAATGACTCAGTGTCCTCTTCCCTGAGTTCAGTCTTGTTGGGAGGAGTATTAAGCAACTAGACACTTGTGACCCAACAAAATGGATACCTCCATGGGGGGAAGCCAAGGAATAGTAGAAGCATGGAATAGTACTTTGCCTCAGCCTGAAGGACAGGTGAGGCTTCCCCTGAGAAACCACAAGATGCCCCATAAATACATGCTAAAGAATTACTGAAGTGCCAGCTAAACCAATACTTGAAGCATATGTAGAGTGAGTCAGATTGGTCCAGGAGGGGAAAACAATTTTAGGCAGAAGGAGCAGTAAGAACAGATCCTCAACAGGATCTGTTGAGAACTTGGCCAGTTTGGGAAATTGATGCTGAAAATCCTTTGGCCTGGCTGGATTAGTCATCTTTCTGGAATTGTTGCTTCCTGTTGGAATTGGCCTTGGAGAACCTCCTAGTACCTGCTTTCTACCTCCCAGTTACAGACCAGGGCAGCCGGCATTGCCTCCCCCAGACACCTATTACTTATGGAACCCTCTCCCCCATCACAGAGAGTAGGCTAGTAACCTGGAGACCCAGAATCTGCATGATTCCGAGGCCCTGATGTGCTCCCAGGCTTGGCAAACATGATCTTGGTATAACCTTATATTGAAGGCTCCAAAGAGTAGAGGCCTAGAGAGGCCAGGGGCAACCTGCCACAAGGCAGGCTGGGCTCTTAGCTGTGTGGGCCAAGGGAGGTTCCTTCCCTTCAGTGTTGCTCCTGCCTATAGGCATTTTTCTGTGCCCCTTTTCTTGTTTGGTGGGGAGGGTGGAGTACTGAGCCCTGACAGCTCTGCCCAGGTGGGGGCGCAGGATTCCTGAGCTGAGCCCAGACTGGCAGATGGGCTCCATGGGGCTTGGAGAGATAGGGACAAGAAGGGAGGGAAGAGGCTGGAGGCACTGCGACTGGATGGAGAGCGGGGTTAAGGAGGCAGGCTTTCTGACATGCCCTCCATATTCAGGAAGCCATGGGGGGGGGCGGGGCATGGAAGCTCTGTTTCTAATTAAACAGTGCCTGTGTTTCTCCTTGCTCCCCATTATTATCCCACAGCACCCCCAAGGCATTTTAAGCTGCCACCCTGCTGAGGAGGCCAGGATGGCCGCCAAAGCCAGCCAAGCTTAATGTGCTTAGGAGGTGAGGGGCAAAAAGCCAACTCAGACTTCCCGAGCCTGCCCTTGTCAGTCAGTCTCTCATTTATCCTCAGAAGCCCAGGGGGGGCTCCTGTCAGCCATGTCAACTTCTGGGCTCCTGAGTGGAATCCAGACTGTCTCCTGTGGGGCTTTGTCCCCAATACTATGTCCTGACCCTGAAGCCAGACTAGGGACTAGAGAGTGGAGCCCGATGTCAGATTCCGCAATGGCCCCCAGACTCAGGAATATGCTGTCAGAATCCAGCACCAGCCACCAACAGAGGAGTCTGCTGGAAGCAGCTATTACCATTTTAGGTTAAGACAGCCCTACTTTGTTAACCCTTAAGGCAGTGGGGATCCTGGAAGCCAAGTCTTCTTTCCCTTTCTCTCCTTCCTCCTTCTGGCCTCATCTCCCTTACACCATCTTCCAGTTCTTGGCAGAGCAAGCAATTGAGATTTGCTGTCCTCTGCCTCCCTCTTCCCACGATATTCTCAAGCAAGCTCAGAGAGGTGGAGCAGTGGGTCCAAGGTCGCACAGCCACAGAGCCCTGGAGACCCAATCCCATCCCAGTTTCAGCTGCTTCCACCTTCACAATCTCCCCAGGCCACATTCACACACGCAGAGTTTAATTAACTTTATTGATATTCAGAAATTAGGAGAATGACTAAAGGTAATTGCTCATTAAAAATCATTAAACTGACACAGCAGGCCCGGGCAGGCGCAGCCCCTCTTGCAAAGCCTTCTTCTCCCGCTGTGGCAAGATCTCCCCAGCACCACCCATGGTTTGGGAGGACGCCCCACAGTCCACAGTGCACCTCTCACCCTGGGTCAATCATATCCCTGAGGCTGCAAAGGGAATAAGGGACTGTGCCTGCAGGGCAGCACTGCACTCTCCCTATCTCTGGGCAGTCTCCCAGGACTCCTGGGGCTTCTGGGTTGTGCCTGGCTGCATCCTGAAGCTTGAGTCCCGAGTGTGAACAGATCTCTGAGGGCTGCGAGGCACTGCACTAGCCGCAAAGGCTCAATCCAATCCCTTTGCTCCCTGAAGCTCTCCTTCACTGAATTCTCCAGAAACCTTGAGGTGGCCAAGTGCACTCCCAATGAGAGGAGTCAGTGCCCAAGACTGTGACCATGCATCCCTGCTAAAAAGGGAGGGGCTTCTGGTTTGCGGGGGCTCCGTCTTCCAGACCCTCTTATCTGCCAGGCTGGACACTAACAGGGCTGCTTCCTCCTTTCCCTTGAGGAGTGAAAATCTTCCCCCAAAGTCAGATCCCTACCCTGAAAACCCCTTGGGCAGGCTACCTCACAGGCACTGGAGATACTAGTGGGGCAGAGGAGGAACACTGGCTGGGACACTCAGACTTCTGACCACAGTGGACAATTCCTTCCAATACCCACCCCACACCCCCTTCAGGGCTCCAGGAATTCCCAGCCACATCAGCCTTCCTCCTGGAAACCGGAAATCTCACTCCAGCCTCTGGCAGAGGCTGCATCCACACACTAGTGGCCTCACAGGAGCCTACTGCTGAGTTCTCACCCTACATTCAGACCTCTTGAAGTGCAGACACCCTGGGACCTGCTACTCCAGACACACGAGGCCCTGATTACACTCACACTGATGCACACACACTGCCTCAGAATGTATGCCAGAGGACAAACACAGGTCCTGTGCCCTAGGGGAGCTGTCCAGAACAAGGTTATAGCTAGATTTGATACGGTCCTGAATTCGTAGGGACATCCTCAGACAACCGGTGGATCTACAGGCTTCTCCTTTTCCATTGCAGTCCCTGAAGTGGAGCTGGCGGGATTCTTCTTCCTCCTCCCCCCCCCCCAACGTGAACACAGGGTTTCAAGTTCCCCCATGCAGCTAGAGGACCTGGTATGGGCAGTTAGGTGGCTGGACCAGACTCCCCAGGAGCAAGTGAGCACAGCTAGAGGCTCAAAAAGGTTCTTCCATGCCTCTAAGACCCTGGAGTGAAAAAAGCTGCCGTCCAAGGACCCAGCTCAACCTCATCCTCAGCTCCTGCCCAGACCTCTGACACGGCCTGGAAAGATTGAGTGGTTAGAAATCACCCCTTCCTGCCCCACTTCTTATCAGGAGCTATAACCATATGGCAAGGGACGGCAGGAGCCAGTGCCGCTACCCGGATCTCACCAGCGGATCGCTAGGAACTGGAGAAGGACCTGAACATTTGTAGCTTCGAAGACAGCTTGTTTGAGCCCGGACGGCAGGTCCAGACGAGACTCCAACACCCTATTCTTTACCCAAAACTCCCTTGTTCCCTACTCCAAGGCCAAGCTTCACTTGACCCGTGTCCACGAATTTGGGGGCCTGACTGCGCCCAGGGCTGGGGGCCGCTGGTAGAGAATCCGTCGTCCCGCAAAGACTCTGCCGCCATGGGGTGGATGGGGACCGGACAGGATGGCAGGCCCGGAGAGGCAGAGCTCTGGGCGTGTTCAGTGTGTGTGTGTGTGTGTGTATGCGCGCGTGTGTGCTTGCGTGCGCGGGCAAGGAAAGGACTTCGGGGAGGACAGACTGTTTATCCCAGGACCTCATCTGCTGCAGTCCAGTGCAGTGCGAGGAGCTGGATGGAGAACCCCCGGGGCCCCCGAGTATGTCCCCAGAATTTTGCTCTAGGTTTCGATTCTGGGGTGGCAATGCCAAGGCAGAGGGAGGTAAGCGACGTCCTAACCCGTTGTCCGGCCGCCATCCGGCCGCGTTCCTCCGCAGTGAGGATGCTAGAGACCTGGAAACCGGCTGCAAAGTCGAGCGAAGTTTGGCGGGCAGCAGGGGAGGAGGGATGGCGGGCCGCCAGCCGGACTGTCCCGACTCACCGCCCCGCGTCCCCCCTTTGCGTGCGCCCCGGCGCCCCCAGACGCCTGTAGTGTAGCGAGGTATCGCGCGGGTGAGCGCGTGTGTGCGGGGAGCGGGTGGCGTGATGAATTGCAGCAGAGAAATCCCATTAGATCCGGGGAGATGATTAAAGGCGAGGTCTCGGCCGGGCGTGAATGGCGGGAGCCTCGGCAGCTTCCCGCCCGTGGATCCCGCGCCCCACCCGGCTTGGCTGGCGCCGGGGTCAGCTTAGCCGGCAGGATTCCTTGCTTGGACTGGACAACCGGACACGCGGAGCTGGGCGCCGGGACGGGTCCGCCCTTCCACCCCCTACTACCGGACGCTGGGGTCCCTTACCGTGAGCCAGGAGCGCCAGCAGCGCGGGCAGGAGCAGCAGGGTTGCTGGGCGCATGGTGTTGGTTGCGGCCGCGCCCCGGGCAGGGGCCGCGGCAGGAGGGTAAGGGGCTTGGCAAGACGTGGGCGCGGGGCGGGCAGAGCGGGGTCCGGCAGGGGAGAGGGAGCGGGGCCGCCGCCGCCGCCGCCGCCAGCGCCTGACAGAATCAGCACCACGGCCAGCGCCTGGCGTCGGCGCCGGGGATCGCCGCGCGGGGCTGGGGGCGGGGGCGCGGGAGGAATGGTTTACCGTAAAGTCTCAAGCAAAGGCGCAGAAGACCCAGAGTCGGGAGCACAGACTCCCGCGCCACAGCCCGCTCAGGGGAAGGACTGCCCTACTAATGTGAGAACACGATCCCCGCACTTCCGTGCTGCCTACGCCCAGCCAAGCCTGCCACCCGCTCCCTCATTAGCATCCCGCCAAAGTGGTAGCCTCTAACCGAATTCTCCTGAAGAGAGTAACCCCCTCCCCACCTCTATCCACCCTATCCTGGTACCTGAGGGCGCCAAGGGTGACCTGGGAAGATATCCACGAGTGAAGCAGCTGGTAAGGCCTGTGTGCCCTTGTGCCAGCTCCGTCCTGGGTCGATAATGAAGATGGCTTTTGAGCGTACAAAGGACAATAAATTATTACTTTGCGCTCAATAAATGCCAGGGCTCCAGGCAAGCTGCATCAGCAGCAAACTGTGCTCACAGAAAAGCTTAATTATCCTGATATTATAGTTAAAAACCAGTGGCACTGTGTCCTGGGGAGACATTCTTCACTTGGCAGGAGGCAACCTGGGCAAAGCTGTGGGGAGCTGAAGGTAGGATCCTAGGTCTTCATGCTGCCCTGGATCTCCAGGATTCTGCCTTATCACGCTCTGTGGGACCAGAGCAGCTACAGTGACAGCCAGGTGGCACAGATCATTCATGCCAATACCTGTTCCAGCTCCTGGAACTGGTGGAGAAAATGTGATGGGAGAAGAGGGTGTCTAAGGCCATATTTTACAATTTCATTTACTTATTATTCTTCTTCTTCTTGTAACTCTGCAGTGCTAGGGATTGAACCCAGGGCCTCACACACAGTAGGCAAACTCTCACTGAGTTACACCCTAACCTGTTAGGATTGTTCTAGATGGAAACTCAAAGGAAGCCCAGAGGGTATAGCTAAAAAGGCATTCAATTACATGGAAAAATAAACTTCCAGGGCTCTTTTTGGGTTGGGCAGCCCTAATGATTCAAAGGATAGTAAGGGACCAGTCCAATTGTGCCATCTGTAAGGCTGCTGTTTAGACCCAGAGGTTGGGCTCACATGAAGAGCATTAATGGACAAAGTAAGACATGACCCTGTGAATGGTGTTATCATTCCCTGTAGAGAAAGGGAAAGACTAACTTCCTGTGGCCCCAGAGAGGCTTGTGTTTAGTTTTTGTTGTTGTTGTTGTTGTTTTTGTTTTTAACTGGAACTTGGCCCAGAACCCTTCCTGACCTTGCCCTGGAAGCGAGTGGCAAAACTTCTGTCCTTAAATCTCATTCCTCGGAGAGTCTTTGGTCCTTAGGATTCTCACAGTCTTCCAGATCTTCTTGAAGGATTCTCTCTAGATCCTCTTGTGGGCTCTGGGGAGCCTCCTCAACTGCTGTAAAGAATCCCAGGCAGCAGGCAGGTGGCGTGTGGAATTAGTTGAGGGGAGACGCTAGGAGAGGATTTTTGGACAGTCGTTTTAAGAAGCTGAGGAAAAAAAGAGAGCTGTAGCAGAAGGATAGCGGGAAGGGGGAGGCATTGCTGAAAGGATCAGAGGTGAGAAGAGAAAGCCAGGAAAGAAAGTGCAGAGGGGAGGGAGAAGGAGAGTCTCCAACAGAGGAGGGGAAGAGGCATAGCAGTAGAAGGTTCAGTAGCTGGGGTATGTTCAGGAAAATACTGGCAGATGTTATGGGATTTCTCTGTGAAGGTATTCCTTTTTTTTTTTTTCTTTTCTTTTTTGTAATGAGATTGAATCCAGGGCTTTGTCCATATGAGGCAAGTGCTTTACCACTCAGCTATATCACAGCCCTGTGAAGGTATTCCTGAGCTCCTCCCAGATCCTTGGGTTTCTTAGAACTAAGCAGCTTAGGCAGAGGGAGTGAGCCATGACCCATGGATGGATCTTTGTGTTAGGATGATTCATGCCCCCTGGAGGCTGGTGGCAGTCTCACCTGACTCTTCTGGCAGCTGGGCTCCTTGATGAGCTGGGTGCTACCTTCAAGAAGGATGGTGAGAAGAGCTGTCCAGAAATTTGCCACACGGCTTTCCCTGCTACCTGAACTAACTTTAGGCATTCAGGAAGGGGGTCCCCTGGAGACTACAAGTCCCACAATACAGCACTATGCCCTGATCTTAAAGGATGGGTTTAAATGGCATGGTGGGAATAATAATGCATCTAGGCTGTCCCCGACTCCTGAAGATGGTCAACAAGCTTCTATGTGATGGGTTCCCAGTTAGCTTGAGGCAGAACCTGGCTAATATGGGAAGCAGCTGAGTTTTTGTCAAACACCTTCTCTCATGCCAATCAAGGGGCCCATTCTTCCTAGACCTCAGCATCACCAACAAATTGAATACAATAAAATGTCCGAGGGAATAGTCAACTGTACCCAGAGCTTACAGGATTATAGTACTCAATTTATATACACATTTGAAAGTGGCATGTTTTTCCTTACTCATTTAATTTATCCCATTCTCTCTCTATCCCCCATTTGGCCTTTTGCCCCCAGAGGACCCTGGGCTTCCCCTGCTCATGTAATTCCTCACTAAATTCTCTGTCTTCTCTACTAGTTGTAGACTCTGAAGGCATGGACCAAGTCAGTCTCATCTGCTCCAAACTTAGCTCAGTAGCCAGCACAGAGTAGATACTCAATAATTATTTGTGAATAAATGATGGACATGAGACATGTCTAAAGCCCAAGCAAGGAAGGGCATTGGTGTCACAGGAGAGCTGTGAGATAATGGAGAAGGGCACAATTAATTTTTTTTTCTTTTTTTGGTACTAGGGATTGAATCTAGGGAAACTTTACCACTGAGATAGATCCCTATCCCTTTTTAAAATTTTTTAGAGTCAGGGTCTCACTAAGTTTCTGACAGTCTCCCTAAGTTGCTGAGGTTGGCCTTGAACTTGCAATACTCCTGTCTCACCTTCTTGAATTGCTGGGATTACATGGGTGTGCCACCATGCCTGGCTAAGGGGACAATGCTGCAGTGAAGGCTTCATATGAGTGAAACCAAGACAAATAAGCTGCTATACATTTCAGTCAATGGAGAGGAAGAGGAGGACATCCAAAGGGAGGGGGCGTGGCTTATGCAGAAGCAGAGAAATGGAAAATGCCAGTCAGTGAGAAGAGTAGTTTGGCAGGAGCAGACAGTCCCCCCTAGGGAAGAAGGAGGAAAGGACAGAATAGACTGGGGACAGTCTGTGAGAGAGTTTGTGGTCATTTGTGCTGCAGGACATGCTTGGTGGCTACATTTAAGGAATTGCCTCATCCCAAAGATGTTTGCACCCAAATGGGAGTCTGGCATCATTAATGTGGGTTTTCCAGCACCACAGTAAGTGGTCAGAACTGGGGAGTTTAATATTGACTCAGAAGGTGGGGATCTAGGCTACTAGGGTCAGAGGAGAATTGAGAGCCAGAGAGGGAAGAAGGGTGCTCTCCAATTCCAGCAGCCCTCGCAGCACCTGTCCAGACTGTGTCAGACATCCAGCCCACACCACTGGAAAAACCAGCTTCACTTCCCCACTTCAGAACAAGCCCATCAATGGCAGGATCACAGGCATATTGGTGACTTATTTTGAAGTCACTGTCAGAATGACACTGCTTTCTAAGCAAGAAGAGGAGAAAATTACTCTCCTTCAAGACACCTTTCAAACCAGACCTGTATCTTCTGTGGTGCCAAAGGGATTAGAGGGCTTTGTGGAAGTAGGGGCCAGGGATGCCACATCGTTTCAGAGACTGCAGGGGCACAGAGCTACCTGCTCACCTCAACTGACTTCTTAGAGCAGTCTCACAGACCTTGAAGCATCTGGAATAGTCAAAGATTTCAGGCCTGGCTTTCTGGATTACCCAAAGTCAACCCTTTGAATTTAGGGGCAGGAGGAGGACCCTGCCTTGGGAAATGGAGAGTTCTAGCTTTTGGGCATTTGCTCCCGCTCCAGGGGGAGGGACAGATCAGCTGTAGCAAGAGCCCAGGATAGATGGAGACAGCAGCAGAAAGTGGTTTGATGTGAGCTACTTTCCATCTCCAAACTGAGGCCTCTAGCCTGCCCACTCCCCCAGCCAAGGCCTTTGATCCTCCACAGCTCCATAAATGTTTAATGCCACCGGCTGGGCAGAAATGAGGCAGGTGCTGGAACAGGCAGACCAGGAATAAGACTTGAGATCCACGATGTTGGCTAGATTATTTTCACGTAGGGGCTCTGGGATAGGTGGGAGGGAGGTCTTTCCCTTCCATGTGGAGGGAGACATCCCAGGGTTCAAGTTTGTGGCACTAATAAAGAAAACTCTTTGAAAACCACCAAGGGGCTGAAAATAAAATGAATAATCAATTGCAAAAGCCCAATCCCGGTTTGATTGAAGGCAAAAGATGGAAAGTTAAATGACAATCAAATGCAAATACAGCTCAACAAACACCACAGCAATTACCAGGCTCAGGAACCACATGGTGCTTGCAGGCAGCAGGGGTTGGCAATTTGGAAGCCTGGGCCTGTGCAGAGGTGACGAGTGTGGGGCTATTTTAATGGACAGTTAAATAGATGCAAAAAACTCTGCATCTACTTTGCATACCCTGCTGATGAGTGAGGAACTGGAATCCAGGGAGGTTGTGTTTCCTTCATGGCTGCCTCTGCGTCATTTCAAATTGGAAGAGGCCCTGAGTGCTTAGAAGTCCAGACCTGAGTGAGCGCAGATCCCCCCACCCCCTGCAGTCTCATTGGATTCTTCCCATCCACTGGTGCTGAAGGGCCAAGGGTAGAAGTTGAAGGGAACCCATGGGATCCTTCACACAGGACTCAAGGCACTGGCCTTCCAACAGCCCAAAGGCCCAGGTAAGAGTGGCCTTCGCCTCTAGATTTGCATAATGCTTTGCATCTCATTTGAATGCTATTAATTTGGTGTCAGGCTAG